TGAGCAGATGTGTAAGTATTACTTCACTCAGAGTTGGCTGCAAAGAAAATTATAATCTCTTGAGTCTCGGTGTTAGAAGGGACATTACTCGTTAAATAATTCCATTGTATCTCAATATTTCCTCAAAATCTGGATGATTCCAACGATCGGAATAATCATCTCCGTAACCATATGTAGAAATACTCTACTTTCGAGCGTGTCACAATAATTTATGCAGCAAAAACGATGGTGAGCAAGGTGTTGAGCAAGCGTTCTCGGCGGAACTGTCAGCAATGCACAGTAGACGTCTACTTTCATAGCAATTACACGAGTCAATAGACGATTATGGATGAGTAATAGCGACATTCAGCAATTACGAATAATTGTGCAGAAGTCATCTCAAGACAAGCAGCAGTCTCAAAAATACTGGGTTATGATGCGCAACTTGCAGCGCACTTGCGCGGGAAGCGGGAGGTGCAAGTTCGAGACGAGGCGAAAGTTTTGCTCATAACCGGTGTTCTTGTAAGACTTTTCACAAGGCAACCTGCGGTCAAAAACAGCGGTCATAAAGTAAGTAGCTGTGCTACGCTGTGGCCAAGGATTTCAAAGACTATAAATACATAACCCCTCTCCATCACTTCTACAAACTGTTAAACAGTAAAGATTTCAGGAAATATCCACCAAATTCGCTCAAATTTTCAGCTCAACTGTAAATTTCCTAATAAGGATTAAGAAGTTTATACTTTACATTTCAAAACGGAGACCAAAATCTTTTTCTCTCTGGCTGCTTAAAGGCACGAGTCGGGATTGAATTGATGCGTTATTTTGTTCAAACATTAGGCAAGGGGTGCAATGAGGAACATTAGTGAGGAGAAAAAGCAAAAAGCACCATAGAAAACACTAAATTTCCCTTAGGAGGCCGGCCGTAGTACGACGGAGAGACACAGCGCTGCGAGGAGAGGGAGAACGCGAGATAGTACGTCGTACGCGAGAGGACGCAGAGACCACGTATGCCGTGGTGGATTACGCTGGCAGCGCGGGCAGCGCGGCGGGCAAGGCCTTACTTTTGGGTCGCGATAGTGTCGCGCCCTCAGTGCTTGGGGAGCCCACTATCGCACCCTGGGAAGAACTTCTGCTGGTTGCCTAATCCTGACTCGTGGCTTTAAGGATCCTAATGGTAGGAAGTTCAAACTTATGGAGATGATTGTCCTACCGTGAAATCTAGCTACCAGAAGAATCTAAGAAAGGTGGGTCGCAATTGTTCTGCCAATGTTCTGTCTATAATTCAAACATTGAAAAGAACAGTATCACATGAAGTGTCCAACAACAGGCGCAACTGACTTTCAGCCTCACTAGCATGTATCCATGGGCAATTTACGATTCTCCAGAGAGTTCTTTCAAACGAAAAGCAACAGTGATTCATAAACTAACAAACAACTAAATTTTTTTTCAATCAGTTTAGTAAGTTGGCGGCTTGGTAAAAAGTAGTGGATTCCCAAAGTACACTTAAAGGAATCTTGCGCGGAAAATTCTTGCATTCTTTCTTGACATGAATGTGTCAGTTGTGATCACTGGAAACAGCACACAAAGTTTCACGCATGAAGATTCGGTTTCCGAAGAGAAACAAACGTACAAAAACTACACGTTATGGACATCGAAGGTAATTCGGGCGGAGCCAAAGGCGAGGCATGGAAAGAAGTTGGCCCTTTAGCCGGCTACGTATCGGGCGTCGCAGTCGTCGAATTGAAGGAGTTGGAGCGAAGATGTGAAAATTCAATAACGCAGTAAGGCCATAGAGAGTTCTAGTGAAACACTCGCAAGAATCAAGCTAGAGCTTCCGGTACAAGCATCTGCAAAGAGTCATCCGTGGGCACTTAGACCGTAGCACCAATTTCGGATTTTTCGAAATTTTTAAGCAAAAAAGCAAAATTCCGTTTTTTTTTTCATACTCTAACGTGATAATGCCTTCTCAAGCCAGTGATTAATAACGAAACTGAAATAGGATCATGATCTCCCCGTGAAGGATTTCTTTGAAGGTTCAAACAAATGCCATGTGGAGCAGCACAGCAGCTGGCAAGCGAGATGCGGATTCGCATCTTTCAGTGAGAGATTGCGCTTCTTCCGTAATAACTCTATTAATGCACTTCCTTGGATAGCAAATTGACAATGCCCGCGAACTCCTGCTCCTGTGAAGCTAATCAAGTGAAAGAAACAGCATATATGCTGATTTCTGGCTATTGTAAACTGTTTAAAACCTCACCATTTTTTTCTATGAGACTATACGAAAACGCTTTAGAATAGAGTGATTCGTGGTAAGTGTGGTAAGGAGGTAAATAAGGTTGGATGCGTAAATTGCCAAGAATTCTCAATAAATATTGATGTTGTCGAGAGGTGATGCGAGTTTGTGATGAAGAAGCTCATCACTGCTCTCCCGTGGGATGGTTATATTCAAAAAATGTGAATGAGATGCGAATGCAAGGTTTTCGCGAAGCATGCTTTCCAAAGCCTCCACTTCTCCTACTCACCTCAGATGAAAGCAGCTTTCTGCAGCACTACGAAGCGCACGCCTTGAAGGGCTGAATTAACATTAACGCTTTCAGCCCTGAATTAATTTCGTAAAAATTTTATTGCTGTTTTACTTGAGAGGACACAAGTAACACTATATCAAAATTTGGAAGCCTTTCGACGAACTTAGAAAATAGACTTAGAAATTAAAAAGCCGGAAAAATTTTCGCAGTTCTTAGTTTTTCTATCTTGTATTAAGAAAAATCCAAATTTCTTTGTTTAATCGAAAAAGTTTATGGTCTTGCACAACATTGTACCTCACATAACAAAATGAATATATTTGAAATATTTTAGAAATAATTGACACTTAACCTAGCAGGTTGCGTGACCAGCGCCGATTCATTGTTGCACTTGTACACAAATACTTGTAATGCTAACAGCAACACACAATAAAATGGCGGGTTCAAAGCAAAATTAGGAAGGAAAAGGTCGTCTGAAGTAATTCCTAACAGTAGGTAGTATAAATACATTGATGTGCCGGTAAGGAGGAGCTTGAATTTGATGGTGGCAATTGCCAAAGACAAAACACTAGAAGCGCACGCCCTGAAGGAAGGCCAAGGCCAAAAGGAATGGGGTTCTGTCCACGAGAACTTCTTAACTAATTCCAGGGAGGATCATCAATTTGAGAAGATCAGTATCGATCCTCATTCTGATGACATTTTTCGCACTAAAAAGGTTAAGATTTGTCGGTTACACATACCCGCTCCGAATAAAAAAGCACGCCGTAGCTGCGTTGATGCAAAGATCAAACATTTTCAGGAAACACATCGTTTCTAGTCGAACAGCTCAGCTATGCATGAACAACTATCGTTGCATTATCGCGAGTGAGTATTCTCCATATCTTGAGAACGAAGACGGCACAACACGGAGGGATTGCCATTACACATTATTGTGTCGAAAGGGCTAAACAACATCACCAGGCAACTACTGACTTTGAAAACGGCTGATCAATTCATTTACAGATTCGATCCCACAGGCACCAATTCGAACATTTCCTGTGCTCGACCAGCGGTCTCGGGGTGAATATTTTTGTAGAGCCGCATGAATGTTCAACTCGAGATGTTTTCCACAAAAGAGTGAAACGAAAAGCTAGAACCCCTAGAATATTTCAGAAAACTTGATGTGACAAGAGGAACTCCATAACGTGTTCTTCCTATAGTGGTGGTAGATAGCAAGCGAAGCCATTGTTATAAGCTTAGATACAATTCTCGCTATAAAATTGATGTTTACGAAA